CTGAAAAACTCGTTTTCTAGAAAACCAGGTCTTCGAAGGGCTATGCGGAAGCCGCATGGTCGTATTCGTAATCAGCATGGTCGATAACCTATAACCCACTAGATTCCGAGCAAAAAGCGTTTAATCATTTCGTGGGGTTCCCTCGTAAGTATATTTAATATAGTTAAAAAACATTTTTATAAAGTCATTTTACATAAAACGCTAGATTTCGATACTTCACAGTTTCATCAGCAGGCTAATATGACTGTGAATTTAGAAGAGAGATAATTATATATACTAGTTGAAACAAAGGAGACCGAAAATACTAGAAAGACTTAAGAATAGGAAAATATGTAGTATAGAACGGAGTGACTGTTACATTTTTCAGTTCTGGACTGTTATTTTCTGGGCTGTCTAGATGCCAGAGTGGCCAATCAGAACGCCCACTGTGGTTTCACTAAAAAAAGTTAAAAGGGGGGGCCGGAGAGTGTTGATAATTATCTATACTCGGATAATTATTCTAACCAGGGATTTGATGTGGTTTCTCTCCGGCATTAAAGCTGATACATTCCTTCACTTTAAAAGACGTTAAAAGACACTCATGGTTTCTCTCTCGCTAGATCAACTATAGTTAGAGTATTTTCACTATTTCACCTTTGCTCACAAAACAACTCAAGTGTAATATATCATTCAATCGAGAATTGCAAGGGTTACAAAATGCTATATAGACTATTGAAAAGAAAATGGAACTGAGTACCCTAACATCGAAAATACTCTGCAACATCTCAGCCAACGGTAGGTCAACCAGAAAAACCAGGTCGTGTGTAAACATTTTCCGATACGACTGTATTGCTTTTTCTTTTTTTTTGCTGATAGCCTGGATCTCCTCTTCAAATCACGCGTGCAACACTCAGTTCGCAGAGGAGTCAGTCACGGAAGAGTCGGTGAATCCTTCAATTATCAACCTGAAACGATTTTTCGAACGTACGGGAAAGTCTGTATATGCTCATGTAGCAAAAATAAACTTTTAAATGTTTTACAGTCTAGGACTCGATGAATCACAGTACTGTCACCCAGTTAGTAAAGCTTGTAAATTCAATTCAAAGATATAGAGAATACAAACAAACTCCGTCGCTATTTATTATCCATTTTCCATCAGCGTTTGACGAGGTATGGCATAAGGCTTGTCTCTTTTTTTCTTTTAATATTGATGATTGTTTGTTTGTTTGTTTCAAGAGGGTTCACAGTTACGTAAGAAAACAGACCGATTTTATAATTCGAAAAAAAGTGAAGGAAAATTAAATTTTATACATTACATCTTTTTGTTGCTTTATTGAAGACAGAATTTCATTTTTCTTAACTTAACTGTGATAATATGTAGCTAAACAGTGTTAGTATGCCACAGAGTATTGGCTTATTAAGAATTCTATATGAGTAACGAAACCATTACGGGGTTGAATAAAATATTTATACGCAAAAAACTCTAGCACCTTTGTATTTCCTCTAAAGCATCCATATTGTTTACTTTCGTTATCGTTAAATACTCCCTACTCTATATCACTGTGCGCTGTCGGTTTAAAAATTTGCTATGTTTCCTAAATCCAAGAGTTTTATAACGTTTCTTTTGATGAAAAATGTCGTCGCCAAAAACAGTACACCGTGTATGTGAGGTCTTGTTGTGTTTCGCTGAAGAAGAGCGAGATAATAAGTATGCAAATAAAATGTGGAAACGTGAAAGCAAAGGAAATTTGTCGTCTTAATTTGATCTCTTTTTTAACAAAAAACAGAACGGAACACGCAATGCATTGTAATTAATCTGTATTAATCAAAGAAAAACCGTAACGCTGTGACCAAAAACGGTCAAAAGTGTCACAGCGTCACGGTTTTTCTTTGATTAATACAGAATAATTAGAATAGTATCAAACTTGACAAGGTATCACATCTTGTAGAGCAAACAATTTTCTATAAACTGGTATACTTGTTCAATTTTTACCAGCTCGTCTTCATTCCTTTAGACAAGCTTTTTAGATAACCCCAAAATCGATTTCTTGGGCTGTCTGTACAACAGTTGCATTTCCATAATAAATCAATGTTCAGAGCCGAGACACTTTTCATTTTGTTCAGTAATGTTTAATCTACTTAATTATCTAACTGCCATTTCAGATTAGTTTGTAACTTTATTGCATTAACTTTTGGAAAAAGAGCAAAAAATGGAGGCCGTTAGCTGGACAAGCCGTGGTTATATTAAGATTTTGTTTCATAAATATCGTGAATTTTTACGAGTGACTCATAGATTACCATTGTTCCAGGTTTATTGAAAATCACAGGTATTACCAGTGAAAGAACTTATCAAAGGGGTATCCCGGCATGGAAATACCTTTTTTGTGGTTCTTTGTGTTTTCCGAGAGTACGTTGTTGCACTTAAACACATAGCGTCTTACATTATATGACTCTGTTACAACCAATATGATAAGTTTTTTCGCTGGTACTTCTGACCACAACTGTGCAAAGCTTTCAAATGAACCGTTACTCAATGCGTTCCATTTGTAATTCTGTATAAACTAGGTTTGTAGAGCTCATGGAGAAACGTTTCTTCATCAGTAGAAGGAGTCGAAACTTCACTCTGATCTTGCTATTAAATGAAAGCGAGTGATATATATTTAGCACATTAATCTAACTATTCCATTGATTTTCAAACGGAAGAAGTAATGAAAAGGTAAAATAGTTTTAACGATTTAATACTTATCGACAAGCCAATTTTTCTAAAAGCAAACAGTCTTGTGCAAAATATCTTTCGATCTCACCACCTGGTTTTTGGAGCCAAAAACAGCAAACTTTTTTTGAACCAAATTCATGCGATGGTAAAAATGGCAGTAAATTTTGTTTTAATTTAGAAACGATGCAATCACTTGGATACTGGTATTTAACTATGGCTAACGTCATATGAAATTGTTCAATTTTTGGTTGTTTTATTTTAACACCTTGAGCACTAATAGCCGATTCTATTCCCCGTACTAAAGTCCATAATGAAGATGCTGATTCTGAGTCAACTTCTGCAGTTATATATGCTTTTAGAGTATCAACATGACAACGGATTTCATTTAATCGAAGTTCAAAGCTTGACCATTTATAATTTTCTAATACTTGTTCAATGATGTTTATTTCCTCATCACTATAACAATCAAAATAAATCAATGAACAATGGAGAATTAATAGAGGTTGTGTGTGTATAATGGTTGAATTATGGTCATCTACACTGTGTTTTATCATTGTTTGAGCTAGTTTTGCTGTTGCCAAAAAAGTTGGATTTAACATTAATGGAATAAATGGCGTGATAACATTTTGTGAACCATGCGGACAATCGTTTTGGGGGTTTGTAGTATTTCCATAGGGTACCCAAGAACAAGACGAATAAGGTGACACCATTGTAACATTTGGTGGATAAACCAGAGGTGACTGCCCTTGAGGAATTTGATAGGGAGCAGGAGCAGAGTTGTCATTCATGCATTGTGTCACTAGAAAGAAAGACAATTTACTGTAACGAAACGAAAAATCAGTTGATCTGACGGTTGATATATTCACCCGAATCTGAAGGTTTTTGTCGTCTATGGAAAATATTTTCTAAATATGAACTACCATGATGGTTTGAGTGACTACACGACAACAAAGTGAACAGTATCAAACTGGGAAAAAATATGATGATCATGGTAGCGATGTTGCTGAAATGTTAAACCAGCTATTTAGTGTTGCACATTTTATATCAGTACGAGAGACAGACAGACAGAGAGTGAAAGCCTTCATTTTGTTAAGTATAATATAGGAATTAGCGCTACTGACAAAAGAACAAAAAAATGTTGCTTGTCTATGACCGACTAATGAATTTTTATTTTTTAAAAAGAAATACTTGAGGTTTTTACCCACTGAGTGTGCATACAAATATGATTACGATCTACTTTCCTAAATGCACTGACGCATCGAATTTCCGACTGCTTGCTTCCTGATGACATAGGAAGCGTTCTCCTAACTATCGAATTATTCTGCAATTTTGACGGACTAAAACATGCTGACAAAAAAGAATATCAAGAATAAAATTGAGAATCATATGAAATTACTAAAAATCTGGCGAGATTGTGTCATATTACTTTAGTTTGGTTAAAGACAACAGAGCAGATAATGAGGAGAATGCTTCCTATGTCACCAGTACGCAAATTGGAAATTCGATGCATCTAGGAACGTAGGTCGTAATCTTATCCGTATGAATACTAGTAAAAAATCAAACTAAACAGAACTTAAATCATTCGAATAAAATACACATTTTGTTTGTTTACGTGTATGTATGAACGTATGTTCCAAAGCACTGTAATCCAAATATTTGTGAATAACTCTTACTGAATGGACACCTGTAGTGCGCTTCTGTGTTAATGATACATGTGTAATCATCATATATAAGAGAAGAGAGGAGGAGTGTGTGTACAGTGTACACATAATTAAGTGTGTACACTGTATACACTTAATTATATTTTGATAATAATCATGCACATAAAGAGAAAAAATTATTATCAGTGCATCTCATATCGATCATATAGTCATATACTGCACAGTGGGCATTTTTCCATAGAGCAGACGGACATTTCGTTTTTTTGAGTTAAAAATGATTATTTTCGCATAATATAGTCTTATTATGCGTCAGATATTAATAAAAGTAAAAAAAACTCGAATTCAAAAAAGTATTTTTTTTCGATAAAACATTCCTTAGGAGCCATTTCACATAAGTCCGCCTACGTTACATAGAACACTGCTCAAATTTATGCCAAAGAAGTTGTTGAAACCAGCCATAAAAGAAAATATAGACATTTCTGAGTAAACTGGGGTTTTCCGTTTGAAAAAATATTGCTGCGTAACTGAGAAACGAGCATTTTACAATTTCGACCAACTTACGGTGGTCAATTTTCACTAGGCACGTGGACGTTTGGCCTGCAAGCTAGAGGAAAACTTAAAAGTGCGTTTTCTACACGTTATCTTGTGTGCTCTATCTAATCGAATGCTTTTCTAATTCTAAAAAGGTTTTCTAAGTGGGTTTCCAGAGCTCTGGTCTCTAGAAAACCACTTAGAAATCCTTTAAAAAACTCGAAAACAATTGCATTGGATAGAAAATCATCGATAACCTATTGCAATAGCGTTTAGACGATTTCATCTGTTGATAATTTCAAATTTTAAAATTTCAGTCAAAAGTCCCTGTACGCACATGCAAGAAACAAAGGAATCAACTAAATTCAAAATTTTCAGTACAAATACAGCTGAATTATACAGCATTCGACGCAGTTTTTGCGCTGATTCCAAATATATTATTGGTTTTAATTTCAATGTTCCTGGAGTGAGATAATCCGGACTTATCTAAAAAACCAAGAGTTTTTGGAAAACCTGTAACTCGTTCCAGAAGCCTTTTCGCTATTTTTCGCTAACAGCATTGATGTAGCAATAGTAGAGGAATATTCTCTGAAAATTTGATCGAGTTTGAACCTGTGGAAAATTGTGGAACATTATTATACTGAGGTATGCTGTTTGAAAAACACTTAGCGGAGAAAGAAATTATTTTTCATGAGTAGATAGAGTGGAAGGTCTAGTTTTGCATTGTGTATAAAATTAGCAAACGTCGTACTTTGTTTCGATCTTTATCGCTCTGTTTTCCGACAAAAATCTGATTCACTCATTTCTCGCTAATTATGACACCTAGAAAAAACTTCCAAGGGCAAAAAGATAGAGCGTTTGCCCAAGTATATGTTCTGCTATTTGAATTTACCAGAAGTCCACTTTCGTTTTTCCACCTAATGTCCGCATGGTTGCCCACTGTGCAACTTTTGGAAAATGTGACATACACATCTCATATTGACAACTTTGTGTTGCTTATATCTCGGCAATCAAATAAGATAAAGAGCTCAAATCTTTTCCGTAAATAGAGTCAACATCCTTCTTCGATTTAAAATAAACCCGACTTCTGGGAATGGTTTCGTTCTCGTACAGTGACTGGTACGTCCTAAACTCATATTTTGTCCATTTTGGCGCCATACTGTATCGAAACGAAACATTTTCATAAAATTTTGAAAACACCGTTAGATAGAGGATCTCGAATACTACAACACCTAAACATGTGAGCTTCTAATTCGCTTTCGCTCAAATAAAAACTGCATCGAAAGTAGCGACTTTATCTGAAAATGTGAGTTTTCAAAATCAATTTTGTCCCATGGCATAAGACGAATTTTGGAAATATTTTGTGCATAAGTAGTTCCAACCTTGATCTATCAATAGATGAAAACATTTCGGTGGGCAACGTTAAGCTGCTAATGCTCCCGACAGTAGGTATCACGTAAAAATCATTATATTTTTAGAACAGTATTTTGCATTTTTTGGTTTGAAGAAAGTATTTTAAAGCGAAACCAAGCCCATATTAGTGATTAACGTCAGAAACTGAACCGAATAATGTATCATTCAGTCAGCTGTTTCAGCAATTTATGCTGGAAAACCAGTTCGGTTCTCTAAAAGCTGGCATAGAAAACCATAAATCTGTTACGTAGATAAACTGGATGTGAGCGACGTCTTAGAAATCCAAGGTTGGTTTGTAGAAAGGTTTCCTAGAAACCTTCGGAAACAAGAAAATCTTTTTGATCGATTTTTCGTCCAGAATCGGAATCAGCGAATAACATAGAGCCTGTTCTGACATTCCAAAGGAGATTGAGTGGTTTTTGACTGAGTTATGAGTTTTTTAATTGTTGATGAAAACAATCAAAAATGGGTTATTTCACCTAGTATAGGTTTTCACTCGGTTGTTGCATTTTGTTCTGAAAACTAACATTGGCACGAGATTCAGCATAGTGGATAACCTATGTTTTCATTTGTTCAAGTAGTGTTGATCGTCGCTTATACGAAATGGCTCTTAGGGATCCTTGCCTTGACTTTTGTCAAATAATATTTTATTTGTAAAATTACCAAATTATACATCACACGATGCATTTTTTTGCGCTGATTCTGAATATGACATTAATTTTCAAGAAAAGTTTTTCGCGGCTGAGAAAAATGGAAAATACCTCAAAAACCAGAGTTTTTTGGAAAACCTATATATTGATTTAGGAGAATTTGCACATTTTCGCGCATACATGGTGGATGCAGAATATGTGGACGAACATTTTGATGTAATTTGAATCGAATTAGACTTTAGGAAAATTTAGGATTTTTACTGCACTGGTGGCGTCAGTTGGAAACACTCTTACGTTTAGGAAAACACAGATTTTCTCCTTAGCGCTTAACTCTGGAACAATATATTTTTTTGAAAAATGTAGGCGGTATAGTGCAGATTCCGAATATCTATACCTCATAACTTATCATATAGTCCAAAATACAAAAAAGGTTTGCCAGCGAAAGGCGCTTTTTAGCGGGTGGTTTTTCATTTATAGGAGGAAAAATCGGTTTTATTTCATATGTTTGGAAGACTTCGAGTAACTTCGAGATGTTCATCTCTCTTGCTGCTTCATCTAATTCTATGATTTTATTTGTATAAAGTGAAGGACTAAGAGATGACACAGTCAAGTAATAATAAGAATTATGCACGAGAGTGACAAGAAGTTATTTACTACTCCGACTGAAATAATTTAGGATGAAAAAAAGTCGTTGATATATTAGCTGACTTCTATGTAAAACACTGCGAAGCATCTCAATACAATGTGAATAATCAATACCATTTACGAGCTATATAATCATACTGCCAAATTTCGTATTTACCCAATATGCCACTTTCTAAAATTTCTTTTGATGAAGTACAAAAGCAATGGCAAATATTCAGTCCCAAAAAATCAACAGACTCAGTTAAAACATCCGCTTTTCTATTAAAACAACTTTCACCAAAATATTTAAATATAATCACAGTTACATTTAACAAATGAGTGAAAAAAGGAGTTTTTTTAAATCAATCGGGATTTACACCAAGAAGAAGGCTAAAAACACGAATATTATCTTTATGCGAAGATCTAAGATTGACAATAGCTGCTAGTAAACGTTCAGCATTAATAACCTTCGTAGACTTTATGACTGTCTCTGATCGGATGTGGTTTTCGGCTCTCATAACTAACTTATTAGAATTGGAAAAGCCGCTAGAACTTGTTCGATGGACTTGCTTATGGCTGCAGAATGGAACCTTCTCTATCTGCCACGGGGAAGGTATCTCTACACTAATAAAATTTCTTGTGGGAACTCCTTAAGGTTAGATACTCGCTGCTACATTATTCCGCTCTCACATCCGTTTTCTTCCTAAATATTTTATGCAACTAAACTAATCACACATTTATTTGCCGATGATGCGGCCATTGCATTTCTTTTGGATCACTGGAGAGACGCTCTTCTACGAACAGTGAGGAATTAGAAGAACGGACAAAAATAGCTTTAGATTCATATGCTAAAATCGCAGACGCCATCATTCTATCGATCAATGTGTCAAAAACAAGCGTCTTGCTCATCCACAGTATATAGTTGCGCATCGTTGTTACTGCTGTTGTAGTAGTGGCATTTGCTTTGAAATGCAATCATAAGAACACATATATTGTGTTTTGTTTTCTAAAAACATCTTTACTTACCACAAAAACGATAAAATATCGTTACAGTATTACGGAATCTATCAGGTATAACCATATTTTCACTTTAATCAAACCGTAACGCATTAGGGCCACCTGAAAACAATACTCCGTTCATATTGAGAACAGTTATCCTCAATGTAGCTCCACGTGCCCATCGTTGTATACGTATATTGCTGGAATCAAGTATATTTTAAAAGCCATCCGTGTCCACAATAATTTCATAGAGTATGATAGTTTATCTGCTGTCGACCCATTAACACCTGTTACGCCAGCTGCTGTGCACTGCGTCGATTCCAACAAACACTTCTTGATTACCATAATCACCTATATACAATGTATTGTTTGTATCATCATAAATACTCCATGGAAAATTTAGTTGACTTGCATTTGTGCCTCTTCCATCCTGGCCAACCACAATAGTTCTGTTCGAAGCATCTTGAATCCATGTCAATACAGGATCATTACTACTATTTGATATGTATATACGAAATTATTTACATCGACAAAAAGATCATAAGCCAAGTCGAGTTTGTCTACACCTAATCATTCAACTCCTCCCGCCACCGTTATTGCATTTATAGCAATAGATGCCAATTTCTGAATACGATCATTGTATGTGTCAGCTATAAAGATATTGTTATTATTATCTATAAACATACTGTAACAATCAGTGTTTGGTTTCCATCAGTAATAATCACATCTCTAGGCTGATTTAATTAGTACGGCACTTGACCGAGCTCTCCTTATTGGGGAGTCAGACTATTCCAGGTATTTTACCATAGAGATGTTGACAGACGACAAGATAGTTGTGCTGTAGATAGAAAAAAAATGATACAATCATCTAATTCTATGGGAAATAATTCGGTAAAGAGAAAAACGTTCTTTTACTCGTTATTAGTCTCGGTATCGTACTGAGCCTAAAAGTAATTAATAAAATCAGTTTTTTATGTCATTAAACCAAGAGACACTGTCGGATCATCATACTTGCAATAATATCAGAAATCAGTTCAAATTTGATAAAAGCATGTGGATCTCTAATGAAGGTATCTACCAACTCGACCTTCATTGGGTATTAAGGTAATGCAAAAATGGAGCAGAATTTTTTTCTTAACTTATTACACACCATTCGTTAGAGTTTTTCGAGCTGATCGCGAATATGTAGTTTTCAATTTTTCGAAACGTTTTTTCAAACCGGAAAATCGAGATAACTCAAATCACCTCAAAACTCAAAAAACGATGAAGTTCACCAAAATTAGCTTTTTTGTTTATTGATTCGTTTTGAAGGGTTTCTGAATTTTTAATGAAAAATGAAGGTTTTTGAGTGATTTTTTATAGTATACACGTTGTACTATATACTGATGTGTTTTCAGAAGAAGATTCCTCTTAGTTTTTCAGCTATATGCTCTCAACACTTGTTTCATATTTTGTTCACTCTCTCTCTCTGACTATGTTGCTTTTAGCTTTCTCAGAGTTTATCTAGGTTGCAAATACAAAAGAAGAAAGTCTGATTTTTTAAACGTTAATCATCAATATTGAGCGCCACATATCTCAAAAACTAAAAGAGTCATTTTTCTGAAAACCCACCAGACCCATCAGAAAACCCATTCTGAAACCCATAGTACAACTTGTACATTATAGAAAATCTCTTAAAAGGCTTGGTTAAAATAAGTAGCTTATATAAAAACCTTGGTTTTTCATTAAAAATCTAGAAATCCTTCAAAACAAAATAATTTTTCAATCAAAACTAAATTTCATTCGCTGAATTTTTAATAAACATGCCCCTAAAACTTATCAACTCAAAATACAGGTTTGTCGGAATTATATTATGAAAGTCAAAATCAAAGAAAACTAACATCATCAATAGATTCAGCATGTTCGAAAAAATCAACAACAGTTTTGTCATCTACAATCGCCAAATGTCTTTATTGCTTTATGTTCCCTTTACCATTGACACTAGTTTTATTCATGAGAAACGATACATTTATATTGAAGTCAGTACCACGCGCTATATGGTTTTCCCATAATTGTTTGTTGTTTTTTTCTTCTGTCTGTTTTTGGCCTCAAACAATATTACTTGTCCAGGCGTGAAATTAGTTTTGTTATTTCACGACCAGCTCACTGAGATGTTTGACATCCAAAAGAAGAAAGTGTGATTTTTTAAATGTTAATCACCAATATTAAGAGCCACATATCTCAAAAACTGAAAGGGTTCTTTTTCTGAAATACATCAATATATAGTACAACTTGTGTACTTCAAACTAATATAAAGCAGAAGTAGATCCTCTCTAGTTAATCAAATTTTAATTCGCGAAGTTGGCAGAATATAGAGTAAGTTGATTATACTATTATCCAGAAGTCAAGGCACTCGATTGTTTTCTGAAGATAGAAACAACATGGAGACCTGCGGTTTTCGTCATTCAAAAGAGGAGACTAGAATGCATGTTTTCATAAACAACATTATTTCCAGAAGAGTTTTTTGAAATAAGTTTCTTAGGAGATCTTTGGAAAACTAGGTCGTCTGTAAGGATTTTTCAATAAGATTGTATTGCTTTTTTCTCATGGGCTGATAGCTCAGGGCGTCCTCTTCAAAATGGAAGTCAAGTGAGACCTTGATTTTCTACGGTTCGGGCGTTGTATCGGATTTTCTACGAGTCCAAGGGCTGGCACCCGGTGACTATTGGCAGCCTTAAAGACGGATGGACTATGGGTAATGGACCATGCTGAGTTTCGAGGAGATATTTATTTTTAGAAAAAGTTTTAAGAATCTACCGAAAAGCCAGTTTTACAAAAATTAGGGTTTTCAGGCTGTTTTCATCTAATATTAAAAAGTTCACTATTCACGTAAAAAACATCAGAACAAGCTCAAATTCTCAGAATGTAAAGTATTTAAGCTATTTTATATCCTATTCACAGAAGATCTCGAAGCTAATTTTACATAGTTCTTAGATTTTCCAAAAGGGTTTCTGGAAAACCTATTAACAAAAATATATTTTTAGATTTTTCCGATCTTATGAGCACATTTAGCGGACAACATTAATCATATACTGAGAATTTGAGCTTGTTCTGATGTTTTCAGGCTGTTTTCATCTAATATTAAAAAGTTCACTATTCACTTAAAAAACATCAGAACAAGCTCAAATTTTAATATTAGGTGAAAACAGCCTGAAAACCCTAATTTTCGTATTGATGTTTATAGCAGTTATTCATACTAGTTTTGCTTTTGGATTTGGAGCGTTAATAACGGTATCTGCAAAAGGATCTTTACAGCAGCTCGTTGTCTGCTATTAGCTTTAATTGGATTTTTTGCACCCGATACTGGATCATTTATTGAATGGTGTTTTAAAGTTATTTTTCCTGTTATAGCTGATAAGGCAATGACTTTGATTCATCATACTTTTAGGTATGCTGTTATAATTGTTTCTTTAATGTGTATTCTATCCTCAAGTTTATTAAGAAAAACAATACATGGGAAATATATAAAAGCGATCCTTTTATATCCATGTTTTCATTGTGTTCATGTAGAATAATGCTGCATAAACACCAACTTGCACAATTAGTTGCTCCCATTCTCAATCATCTGTTCTGCACGCCTAACCATCGATGTAGTAGCCAAGTATTCCATCAGGGAAGACACCCAAATTGTCCTTACTTTTGACCTTGACGTTGCCATCGACTTCAACCATGTGTTCGACACCTACCGTTTCAAGATTCCAAAGATACAGTTTCTGAGAATTTCCTCGGACTCGAAAGATGGCGTCTTGACAGTATCGATTGTCACCGGTTCCAATACAGCTAGTACTCCAGTTCTGGAAGAAACTGTAGAGGCCAGCATTATAGATGTACATATTTGTCGCATTGATTATATCTACACCCCATCCTTTGGCGCAATTAGTGCCACCTGTTGGACATGCATCGAAAACAGGATCAGACCAGGCGGCAAGAGGAGTGAATGGTACGGGAGCTGGTGGATTGCTCTGGAAATAGGCTGACTCGGTTTGCGCTTGTCCAAAGAAAATGTTCTTCGCATTGACGAATTGGTATTGATAGAGTACAGAGTGCTCTGCTGAAGTTCCATACATCCAAAGTGGACCTTCGCTCTCGACTAGAATAGTCCGAGCATTGAAAATGTCAATTTGAGAGTGGTCAGGATAGTCCAAATTGTGATCAGCCACCCAAAGCCATGTGTTCTCCATATAGAGGGACCCAAGAGGGGAAATGTGGAGCTGAAGGAAGGCACCCTGGCATTCTGATCTGTTACTTGCACCGGTAAGCTTCAAGCAATTCGATGGTGTCTGGTTTGTGCCTTTTGCTCCACCTGTTCGAAAGTGCGTGGACCAAAGTCCTGATTTTCCCGGGCAGATCGACTTAAGATTCCATTGCATCATGATTGCACCGGGCACCGGTCCTTGATGTGAGAAAAGTATATCAACAATTTGGACATTGCCCGATTGTCCTTGTCGTCCAACTGCCCATACAGGCTGTGGATTTTTTCCATCACCAAAGAAGGAGCCAGTCGCCATGATCACGGACTCAACTTCACCTATGATCACTGCGTTCGGTGGTATATGGACGGTACTTGTGTGTATATAGGCACCAGCGTCAAAGAAAATGATCTTGGTCGCCGCATAAGTATCAATGATTTTTTGAATGGTTGCAGTGTCGTCTGTCACTCCGTCACCTTTAGCGCCTAGACTTTTCACTGTCACGAATTGGTTGATTGAATATTCTGAATATTCGGGCCTTGAATGTTCCAGAAATTTCGAGCCATCAAGTAATACAGCGGACTTGTCGGGTGGAGGAAGTGGACCTCGACTAAACGTATAGTCGTTGGAAGAAGCTTTGTAGACATGACCTTGACCCCACGAATCAATTCGCTGGTTTCCTTGCAATAATATCTGGTTCGTTGTGCTTTGAACCGCGACTGGAGTCTTCTCGAAATAGACATTGTCCAAAAGAATTTGTCCGGCGCTCGGAGGCGTGGACTGTGCGTTGGCAGAAGTGATAATTCCAACCGGGGTGTCGTAAAAGTGAGAGTCCAAGACCGTGAGTCCTCCAACCGACTCATTCTGTCCAGGTTTGACAGACATGTCAATGCCAACGCGACAGTTGTTGATCGAAAGGGACTTGTACAGCCAATTCCAGTTCCATATTTGGCTGATCGCAGTCTGACATCCAAAGAAGGTCATATTTCTCGAAGTAAACTGCTGGTTTCCCAAAAATGCACCGATCTTACCGCCATAGAAGGTCAAATCACTCATGAAGCCGCCACTTCCACTCTCGATGAACAAACCTTGATGCTGTGTCCCTTCTGCCGTTGACATCTCGATGACGAGATTCTGTAGGGCCGTGGCCTGACCCACTGGCCAATGAATACCACTTGTACCGAGACCTGGGTCCATGGTTGTCATGTCTATTCTCAAATTTCTAATCTCGCGGAAAAAGTTATTCGTAGCACCCCAAGCGAGATTTCCCGCGCCATTATACGGATCACCATCGAGCACGTAGCCCGCCTTGAAACCGCTTGAGCATTTGATGGTCGGTAATCGGTTGCCAGATGGATTGCCAACTAACTGCGTGTAATAGTCGAGTTGGAGACTTGTGCTAACCAGATATGTACCATAAGGAAAGTAAATGAGGCCGGGTTCGGATGTCGACCCTTCACATGCTGAAGCAGCAGAACATCGACCGCTCGAGATAGCATTTTGGATAGCTCTGGTATCATCAGTAATTCCATCTCCCCTTGCACCAAAGTCCTTCACGTTTCGGTAAACTTTGTAATCCCGAGTATCAGAGAAGGGGTTCGATCCACTTGTTTGTAGCACTTCGCGCCAGAATTGAGCCGGATAGTCTGGAATGATGTGTGTCGGGTATTGACATGAATTCGATACACTACATGAATTCACCACCGAAAAACAAAGAACGGATACGAAACAATAGATTGTCGTTGTGATCATAGCTTCTGTTGAAATGTGAAACAGTGGTGATGGTACCCCATTCTTTATTTCTAACAAACAGATGGTGTTTTAAGCCGTACTCTTTACAAATAAGAAAGCGCACGGTATCTTGTTCCAATAATTATAAATTTGATATAGGTCCTACGTACTTAATACTTATGTATTTAAGTACTTGATGACATTTTACAAAAAATTTAATTATCATGGAAGATCAAAGAACAAGCAATCAACATTCGATTGAAATGGGATACAACTTTTGAAAAGAAAGCGAGAAATGATGGATTAGGAGTACAGTAGCCAGGCATGAATACTATTCAAAGAGACAAGGACTTTATTTGAAATAGGAGAAAATTTCATATTGATCTCATCTTGGAATGGGAAGAAAAATACCATTTTACATTTCGCTCCAATACATTTTATGACCGACTCGATGACTATGTCACGGCCGGTAACAATAACCGTCGGCGCTGCTTTTCTCGACGAAAGGAAAAGAAATTAAGCAGACTATTGAATAAAATGAATAAACAACGGACATAATCACTTGTTGGCATACACGATAATGGCTCAGTTCTATTTACTACCGGAACTGGTACTACTCGAGATCTACTCCTGTTTATCATGTAAAGATGTCTTCTACGCCTTCGTTCACTATCACACGAGGCAGAATTTTGTAAAAAATCCAGAATATTCCGCATCATCATGTTTATTCCGGGATATTCTACCATATTGTTAGGAAAATTCTCGTAGAACTCACATTATGTTGCAGAATCGTGCAAAATGGTTTACAGTTTATAAGTTTCAGCGAAATTGTGACATCTTGGGACACATAATGGAAAATCTGCGAAAAGTTTGCTTAAGTTTGCATTTGTCTGGTTTTTGCTACCTTTTACCGCAATTATCTTTTACAATGTAGAGCAAATTGCAATAGTACTTTACCTGTTTTGCATCTTTCGTTCTTTCTGATCGGTGATGTATGATACATAACAAATTCGTTGCCTTCAAACTATTCTCGTAATCACAAGTGACATTTGTCTTTTCTCGCTCATATGAATTTTTTCGTTCTTTTTTCTTTTTCTCTACGTAGAGGATTATATGCATCATATATGATCGATCGTACGAACGAAAGGTAGAAAAGAAATGAAAGCACTATTTCAACTTTTTCTGTTCTGTTCCTTTTTTCTGTCCTCTAGCGTTAATAGAAGAATGGACGATGGGTACAGACTGACGGTTGTGTGCTGTATTTTGTAGTATGCAGATTTGGACCTTTGATCTTGTATAGCGTAAGTCACTGTTAAAGTTTGGTCATCAGAGAACAATCACTTTCTGACTCTTTTGTCTGAGACTTTTTGAGGAACATATGGCCGCTAGGATGATAAAAGTCATAAAACAGTCACAAAATCCTTCTCATTCTCACTTTTTAGTAGAGCTACCAACAGAAAGTGGATTTCTTTGCCACGATAGATAACTAAAAATTTCTACAAGCCTAAAGTAGACGAATAGATGCACACTATTGCTACTTCTTGTTTTCCGCTAGCAGCCTTGGCACCAGCGGCGCCCAGCGAGGTTGTATAGAAGTGAAAAGAGGTCATTTTTGAACATCCGACTTAGAATTACACATCAAAAATTAGCCAAGTAAAGTGAAACTAATGGTCATTACCCCTGAAGGTCAAGTACTACGCTATCATTAGTTTACTTCTCATTGGTGTACCTACTTAGCCCGTACTAAAACCATGTCGAAAATATGGATTAATATTTTATCCAATTCGATTTCAAGAAACTGAGTACATAGCCTAAATGAATCTAAAACGTTGTGAAATTTAGCTATGTATATTATCCGCCTTTCGATATTAACGGCTCTTACACTTCCTTTTCTTACTCATGTCTTTGAATCATTTGTTTTACTGGGTTTCTCTCGCTTTCCGGTGTGTCTAGAGCGTTAAGACAGCAAGGCCCCGCCCCGATCCTTCATTTTGTATCTCTACATTCAACGTAAATAAAATAAAAATATCTGCATGATAACGACGGTATAGATATGCATGACATTGCCGATCTAATCTGAACGATGGTTCGCAAAATATCATTTGAAGTCTAGGATTTACCATAAAAACCATATAAACCATGAATAACATAAATACCTAAAATACCATAAAAACCAATAAAAACCATATAAACCATGAATACCTACAATAACATAAAGTTGGAATGGATGCTTGTTGCCAATGTTTTTTATACAAAGGCATTGTAAAGTAAAGGTGGGCACATGTCATGTAGTCTTGAAACAACCCTGATGTTGACGTTGCTTCGTCAAATTTGGAATAAAATTGAAGTTGCCGCAATTGCAATCTTTCCACGACATCATGGATTTGGCCTAGCTTGTAGAAGGTCTACTGACCATATTCCCTTACGTAGAACCTTGAAGTTAGTATCAAATGAAAGAGTGCGTCGAGTTCTATATACTTCGATGAAGAAAAGTTATGCTACATATCGCGGTCGTGATAGAGAGATTTCTGAAAAAACCGGTTTTCTAGAAAATCTAATGCTCTTAAAGTTTCTTTCAGAAGTTTTTGAGTTATATCATTAGATAGTCCCTTCAATTCTTCATTAAACGAGATACTGACCAAGTTTCTATGCGTGTCAAAAGGTGCCATAGAAAATACGATACAGATGGAAAACAGCGTTAAACCATTAGTGTGGACAAAGTGTCTAAAGACGAATTGACGAATCGCAGTTTTTAGGCGTAAAAATGATGCAACAATTCGCATTTTACCATTGTTTTGCGAATTCGTAATTCAATGCGAACTGATGCGAACTAACAAAAAATGATCAAAAAACGAACCAAAAAAATTGCNTGCCTCTTTTCTTCCTTTTGTCAATTCATAAATTAGGACGAATTCGTAAGAAAGAAATTTCCGGTACCTACGAATTCGTAAATCGAATTGGTCGGCCATCGACGAATTCGTGAAATGATCATTTTGGTCCCCAGGAATTCGTGTACGACTTCGTAAATTGGCAAAAATACGATAAAATGCGAATTTACGAATTCTATTTACGAATTCATAGATGCCAAAGCGTAACCGACGAATTCATAAATAGAATTCGTAAAATACAAAGTGATGTCAGGGACAGAACACTTTTCTCTGAGGTTAAAAATAGATAGATCCGTCTCTTTTCATCGACTCGCATACTTCTCATATCAATTCGCCGTTATTCTTACGAATTCGTAAAATACGAATTGATCAGTTGAATGAATTAATCAAAAAATGTGACAATAGACGAGATCAATACATGTATCTGTGCGAAACAAACAGAGGGGAATCTCTCTTTCTTTTGTGTGCATGTACCGAGCGGGGGGACGGGGGCAGTGAGGATGGCTGTGAGTATTTACACAACATGGCGTATTTTACGAATTCGTAAGAATAACGGCGAATTGGTATGAGAAGTATGCGAGTCGATGAGAAGAGACAAATCTATCTATTTTTAACCTGAGAGAAATGTGTCCTGTCCCTGACATCAATTCGTATTTTACGAATTCGTAAGAATTATCAATTCTCAATGAATTTGCAGAATGGGTTTGTCAATTCGTGGATCCATTTTCAACCGCTGGATCAGTTCGTAATACGAATTCGCTAATTCGTATTTACGAATCAATCTAGTTTCAAAATCAGTGAACACAAATTCGTAAACTAATTTTACGAATTATTTGCGAATTGATCATCATCGTGTTTGATCTATTCTCTGTTTACGAATTCGCAAGAAGAATTCGTAAAAGTTTTTAAGAGTATCCGTACGAATTCGATACAGTTCGCATCAATT